AAAAAAAAAAAACCTCTGTTACATCACCCCTCCGAATATAAGCCCCCTGGGGGGGGGGCTGGTACTTGTAAATTGCAGCTCAAATACAAAGTAAAACAAAGCAAAAATGGTACATTTCCTTCCAATAATAAGCTGGCCCAATCGATTCTGAAACGCAAATTTCCCTCTATACATATTAAAGCCTTTCTGAATATAAGCCCCACCAAAAATAAGCCCCTCAAAAAGGGCCTTTGAAAAATATAAGCCCCGGGCTTATTTTCGGAATTTTACCGTATCCTCAATAATCAAGGACTCGGTAACTGTTATCAGCCTTGGCTTTCGGCTCAGCTGATAACACTTACCTCCACCTTGATTATTCTGGATATTACAAAATCTCATCCAATAATATTATTGTTTATTATTATTCATCCAAAATGTATCCCCGATTCTGATTGGCTAAAAGCACTCGCATAATTCACCATAACCAGCTACTAATGACCAAATTTGAAAGAATTTTGCAATTAATGAACCAATGATGTCAAAAATGCAGCTTTTTTGCTGGTTAATGCATCGTTAACTGAGAAGACCTGGGGACGAGAGGTTGAGTTGATTTGGTTGTGAAAACAAAAATGGCAGTACACTATTGAAGATAAACTTAACATTGATGCAGGTAAGCATGTTTTAGCTATCTTTTTAAACTAAGAATTATTTTCAATGAATAGTAAAGCAACTAATGAATTTGGCTTTTGTACTGAATGCGTGCAGTTTTACCATGTTCTACTGGGCTATCTAGAATTAAGCAGATCTCGGAGGGTGTTATCCACCTCGGCCTTTGGCCTCAGTGGATAACACCCTCCTCGATCTGTTTAATTTTTCATTTCCTACTCAGCCTCATTCATTAATTGCTAATTATTAACCAGTAATCAGCCTACCATTGCCAAATTAGTAGAACAAGTTCTTCCATCACTCATTGAAACAAGCTGAGCTTACTCTCAAAGTGGATGGCTCCTCTTAAATTATGTTCTGTATAAAACTATATAGGATTCAATGGAGCGAAAGGTCTGACAGTGCTAGTGTCAGAGGTATGAATAAGAAGCTCAATTCTACAATCACACCTGTTCTGAAAGTTCAACGCGATCCAAGGAACAAATCTGTACCGATAACTTCTCCATTTTTCAATCCACTTGACTCTTACCATACTGACTTCCCGCTCTATCGACGCTCTATCTAATTACATTTCGTGTACCATATTTAACGCAGCTACCCATTAAATCGTTCCCAATCCACTGCTCCTTTTGCAATCCGCATGGCGGATGTAGTTCGTCTCATTCGTCTCCGTTGCCAATTGCAGGAAATTACTTCAAACGGTTGTCCTTGAATCAAGAGAAATGCCGAAAGTAAAAGTAGTCAAGAAAACCAGAGAACATGGTCAAAACAAAGTTTACCAACAAGGTGATTTTTTTCTTTCCTTTTAGGCTTTCATGTATATTTAAGAGTTCACCTCTAAACAACAGCTAACCTGCATAACAGGCGCTTTATTAGCCAAGCGAGGCGAACGCGACATTTTGCGCGAAGCGCGAGACGAGGGGATTAGAAAAATGAAGCGCCTGTAACCAGTCCATTGTTCTGGCTCCCCCCACGTTCACTACATGAACGTTGACCAACGTTGCATTTCCAATTCTTGGTTTCACATGACGTCACCAAAATTTAAATTAAGAAACTATCGCTTCATTTGGGTTTCTACTTTCATGTGGTATAACCACAGGGGGCCCGCACAATCTGTTTGTGTAGCCGATTGTTATTTTATAGTAAATATTCTGGATTTACCATTTGCCTCACCTATAGTGATATGTCGCTAACCATGAAAATAAATCAATGATAAATAAACGTTGAATTACCTTACCCGTGATATATAGTTGATCTTTTGCCTCAAAAGCGGTTTTTTGAGCGATTTTGAAGGAGTTTGAGTTCGCCGTTTACTGTTCAATATAATAAAAGGACAAGGGTGGAATCCATGTTTTGAAAGGGCTCCAGTGCTGGAGCCATTTTCCCCCAAAATTCGCATCACTCCGCTTTCAAACTTCATTTCAAGAAGGTCGAAAGATTTACCCTAGTACCTTTTGATGGAAAATCCATCCAAACAGCCCGGAGCTAGCCGTCAAAGAAAATAAATCCCGCAGTATTGGGTGGCAGGAATGCTTAGCAAGATTCATACATGTACGTGCCAGCCACAAACCGTCACGCTGATTGCCTTTTTTTGACTGGATGTCATTAACCAAATGGTTAAATAATAACTGATGTAAAGAAGACTTGCATTGGTAAGTGTTTATTGTTAAACGACATCCAATCAAAGAGAGGCAATCAACGGGACGGTTTACGCATTCCTGCAACTCGAATACTGTGGGATTTTAATTTTTTCGACAGCTAGCTCCGGGCTGTTTGGATGGATTTTCGATCGGAAGGTACGGGGAGAAACATGAATCTTTCGACCTTCTTGCAACGAAGTTTGGAAGTGGAGTGA